TTTGCCGAAAAGTCATTTTCGACACTTATTGTCTCTAAATTGACTAGCTCAGATCTGCGGGCGTTACACAAAAACTGGAGTGAATGGCATCGTAAAACGATTTTCAACCCATTTCCATTTTCCCCCCATAAATGAAATAAAAAATGAGATAAATAATGTTTCATCTCTAACCCTACCCCATTTTTTACCCCAAAAAGTATATTTCTAGAATATTCTATTTTTATAACTTATTTATATATATATATATATATATATATATATATATATATATACACACACACACACACACATCCCTCTACTAATTAGATTTTAACAAATATATATTATATTTTTTCATTACAAAATATTTCAAATTATATTATCATAAATAAAATGTTTATATATAATAAATTTAAATTAATTATTATTTTATTATAAATAATTATTAAATAAATAAGATTATATTTATAATAAATGTATCAAGATTACGATCATATTTGTATCTAAATTTTAATTAGTAGATAAAATAAACTAGAAAAGTATAATAAATATTGCATTTAAATTATAATTAGTAGATAAAATAAACTACAAATGTATAAAATAACAATGAAAGGGACTAAAATTAGCAACCAAACTTCAACTCAATTTTTGAAGATATGAATAGTATTCCCCCAAATATGGGGGAATACTATTCATATCTCCAAAAATCGAGGTAAAAATAGGATAGGGTTGGAGAAGAATGAGGGAAGAAATGGAGGAAAAAATAGAGTTTTGGTGTGGGTTGGAAATGCCTTAAGTCCACCTCCTTCCATCAGTTCCCTCCTCTCATCTGAGTTTTCTAATCACAACTGACACATTCTTCTTCCTTGAATATAAGGCTTCTTATTTCATCATCTTCCATTGATTTCATCCAAAAATTGGCCTAAATTTGTAAATATGTGTGTACATGTTTATGAGAGAGATAGAGGCGCCTAAAATTGGGTTTGATTTTCACAGTTCTTCCATATTACAGACATCGATTGTGATGGGGAAGTGTTCGTCGTATGTCATGTTTCTTCAGGGCTTCACGATGAGAGAGACAATGGAGTGTGGGTTCACGATGGTGGGCATCCATGGAGTTACAATCACAAGATAAGGGAGATAGGAGTGATGGGAAGAACACCTAGACTGTGTGCTTGTTGATTTGTAGTTTTATTTTGATTTATCTCTTTAGCTTCATCAACGAAATTGTCCATCTCTATAACCTAATTTGCAAGTAAAAATTAACAAGAAACCAAATAAAGAAATTAAAAAAGAACAACCAGTTGTAGAGTCTATAATTTTATTTGCGTAAGTTAAGGATAATTTCTAATTTCAACTTAAATGAAATAATCATTGGATCATTAGATAATAAAAATCAGTGATGATCTTATTTTCTTTTTATAAACTCGTATATAAAGTTTTATGTATTTAAATAAAATTTAAATTTACAGCTAATTTCTAATAACACAAAAGTCCTAAGTTTTTAAAGTCTAATTGGAAAAAGACATTATATATATATATATATATATATATATATATATATATATATATATATATATATATATATATATATATATATATATATATATATATATAGACACACACACATTATTGCTATGGTCATAATTTTCTCGTAAAATTATCACTCTAACCACTTAATGAGTTTTACGGTTAACACTATTATCATTTTTTGCAAAATTAATCCAAAAATTAGATTTAAAGTTCAAATTTTGTCTTTGCAATTTGTAAAAAATGAGTTTTACGGTTAACACTATTATCATTTTTTGCAAAATTAGTCCAAAAATTAGATTTAAAGTTCAAATTTTGTCTTTGCAATTTGTAAAAAATTACACCATATGGTGTTTTAACTTTACTTTTTGTTTTTTATATATACTTTATTTATTTTCATTTTTATTATATATATATATATATATATATATATATATATATATATATATATATATATATATATATATACTAGCCGTTACGCGCGCACAATGGCGGGGACAAATAGCTTCTTTCAACGATATTTTTTTAAAGAAAAATGTTATGTTCCAAAAGAAAGTTCATGTCGTGGGTGAGAGGAAGGACGGTAGTCGTGATAGTGGTTGGTTGAAGGCGGAAGGAGGCAGAGCGGCTGTGGTGGTGGTGGTTATACTGTCTTGGTTACAGGTTAGGGTTCTTCGAGAGAGTGTGCGTATATTTCTTACTTTGAAGGGATTACGAAGATAAATATTATGAGATGACTTGTTACCAATGTGAGAAAAGAGATCCTCTATAAATTGTTGACATTAACCGTTTCAAATGGCTAAAGTGTTGAGATTGACGGGTTCAATTTGCAAATGAATTCTTCTATTAATTTGATACAAGATTTTTAAGGGATAAATGATAGGGTTAAAGTTTTAATATTATTATATTATAAATGAGTTGTATTTCAAACTTAATAGTTTGAACGTTTTAAAAAATATATTATTATACTCAATCTATTTATATAAATAGTTAGATTTTTTTATAAGTAGTATATATATATATATATATATATATATATATATATATATATATATATATATATATATATATATATATATATATATATATATATATATATAGACACATACATTTTATTTATTTTTGTTTTTTAACTTTATTTTTTAACGGTTTGATTTATTTTTAATTTTCTTTACCTTTTTTTTTTTTTCAATTTTAGTTATTTAAGGTTTTTCTAATGATTTTATTTATTTTGGATACAAGTAAATTAACTTGAATTCAATTTAAAAATATTATATTTTTTCTATAGAGATCGACTATTATTATTTATTTTGTTCTTTCTTTTAGTCTATTATCAAATTAAAAAAATATATATTATTTTGAATTTAAACTATTGTTATCATATTTAGAAATATGATATAATTTGCAAGTTATATCATATATTGAAACATTAATTCTCAATAATCAAGTTGTTTGTATTTTTTTTAATTTTCATTTTTTCATAACATAAATATAATAACACTAAAATACAAAAAACTTAACAGAAAATAAGTTGGATGGAAATTAGAAATATAAATAACTTTTTTATTTGCTTGAATAAAAAAAAATACTATGGATTACCAAAATTGTAATATACTCTAAAAGTATAAAATGTATGAATATATTAGAGTATATAAAAAAAATAAAGAAAGTATATATATATATATATATATATATATATATATATATATATATATATAATGAAAATAGATTTAAAAAATCAAAAATAAATAAATTATATAAACACCAAAAATAAGGTTAAAAAAACATGTGTAATTTTTTGCAAACTACAAATACCAAACCCAATTTTAGGATTGATTTTGAAAAAAATATACGTTAAGTGGGCTAGAATGATAATTCTGCAAAAAAAATTATGGTCATAACAATAATAAAAAAAATAATATTAGAGTTTTTTCTAATTAAATGTTAAAAACTTAGGACTTTAGTGATATTAGTCATTTCTATTAAATTATTTTCATTTTTCATAAACTTGATCATTATGAAATATAATAAAAATTAACTCTTATCTACAATCAAATCACAATTATCTAATTTGAATTTGATTAAAAGATGATTCTTAGACAAAACTGCAAAAATGGTCCATGGAGTATGCATTTTTCTTGGTTTTGGTTCAAACTTCGATTTTCTTTTTGGCTTCGTAGTCCTTTTGACCATGTTTCCATGTAGGTTTTAGTCCCTTCAAAGTTTAAAATTAGTGTAATACACTTATGTATTTATTTTCTATTTATTTTATCTATTTTTAATAATTAAAGAACATTTAAGGATCTCTCTCTCTCTCTCTCTCTCTCTCTCTCTCTCTCTCTCTCTCTCTCTCTCTCTCTCTCTCTCTCTCTCTCTCTCTCTCTCTCTCTCTCTCTCAAGCCATGTGCATCGATCCTCCTCATCCAACTTCTTTCTACTTCATCTTCTCCATGGCTTTCCCTTATCATCTTTCTTTCTCTGATAATCACTAGCAATATCATTGCTCCATAAATACTCAAAATTTTCCACTAATTTAGAAATTGTTAACAATCGGTGAAGTTAAGATCTACATAAAAGAATTGAAGAAGAAGAAGATTACATATTCTTTAATGACGACAATTCCACTTCTGCATCCAGTGTTTCCGCCTTTGCTTCTGGTTTTTCAGATGTGATCGGGAAATTGTAGTTATGGGTAGAGGTTAAAGAGCAACCAAAGCTTTTTGCTTCCTTCAATGACGATTCAAGTGAAGCAATTGAGATTCTCCTCCTCTATTCCAATTTATGGGTATTTACTCAACTTAACTCCATTTTTTCTAAAATTGATTTTGTTTTATTTTGTGTATTTTTAGCTATTCGAGCTAACTTCAAGCACGAACATCGATTGATCGGTAACTATTTATGTTTTTTTTTATTGTCATTGTTGCTTGATTTTAAAATTTACTTGTATTTGTGGAAAGTTACTTTATTTTGGGGAAGAAAGGCTTATTGCATTTACATTCCATCGATTCTGGTTTGACGTGGAAAGCTGGAATGAGATGATGTGCTGACTAGATCATTGAGATGATGTGTCCAAATTACAAAAAGATTCATTATGGATTTAAAATTGCATAAACAACTTCAAATGATGATCATATTATGAAGATGAACAGGGTAGAGATATGTTTAAGTTTGTGTGTATGTGATTGAGTTTCAACATATACACACATAGATAGGGAAGAGAAAAAAAGAAACCCTTAAATGTTTTTTAATTATTAAAAAAGATAAAAAAAAATATGAAAAAAACTATAAAATAAATACATAATGGTATTGCAATAATTTCAAATTTCAAAAAGATCAAAACCACATAAAAACATGGTTAAAAGGATCACAAAAAAAAAAAAAAAATTGAAATTTGAACCGAAACAATAAGGAATTTTATAGTTTTGTCTATTTTTTTTAATTATATTATTATTTTATGTTATTTATTTATTTATTTTTGACAAATAATGAAGGAGTCAGCCTTCCGATTGGACCCTCACTCCCACCATAACCTTATCAAGCACCGTCAACAGATAATCATCTCTCGTCTTTCTTCTTCAAGCTTCTAAAATCTCAAGATAACCTCCATAACAGCTCAGGCGAATAACATACTGCAAGAAACTCACCCTTAAAATATCACCAATTTACATTGATTACCCTTATCGAATCTTCAACTTTAGGTATCCAAATAATTGCTCATGGCGTCGCCTGAAAAGCCGCCGCCGGCGATCATCGTCCAACCGGCGTCCCCAAGGTTTCCAAAACCCGGCGCTTTAAGTGCCGGAACTCAGAGGAAAGTTGCGATAGCAGTCGATCTGAGCGATGAGAGTGCGTACGCCGTGAATTGGGCAGTTCAGAATTACCTCCGCCCTGGAGATTCCGTCATACTCCTCCACGTCCGTCCTACCTCTGTCCTGTACGGCGCAGATTGGGGCGTCGTGGAGGATCCCGACACCGCCACCGATGAAGAATCGCAGCAAAAACTCGAAGATGATTTCGACGCGTTTACAACCACCAAAGCAAACGATATCGCAAAGCCACTAGTCGATGCCCAAATCAATTTCAAGATCCATATAGTGAAAGATCATGATATGAAGGAGCGATTGTGTTTGGAGGTCGAAAGGCTAGGGTTAAGTGCTGTGATTATGGGGAGCCGAGGGTTTGGTGCTTCGAGAAGGACATCGAAAGGGCAGAGGCTTGGGAGTGTTAGTGATTACTGCGTGCATCACTGTGTGTGTCCGGTGGTAGTTGTGAGATATCCAGATGATAAAGATGGCGAAATTGCTGTTGGATCACCTCTTCGTGTGAATGGCGGCAGCGAGGTTTCACTGCATCCGGTGCCGGAGGAGGAACCGGAGTTTCATGATGCATCGGATAAACAATCAGGTTAGTTTTTTTTATATCGAATCTAGGGTTTAGTCAACTTATCAAACAGCTTGATCTTATTGTGCATCACTGAAACTTTTTTTATTGCCATTGATGATGACTTAATTAACATACGTTTTCTAGTCATGTTTTGATTCTCTTACCAAATTGGTTGCATAAATTGATAAAAGGAAATGACTTTTGATGCAGATCTGGAAAAGCCCTCCTAAAGAAGGGTTTTGGTATTTGGGTGTTTTGTTGGTGTTTGTTGTGTGTTTCAAAGTGATTTGGGGATGATGAGGAGGTTGCTGATGTTTTCCTGTTTAAGGGTTTATTTAGGGTTTAAAAGTGGATGGTGTTCAACTGTTTATGTGTTAAAGCATTGTCAAATGGAGTGGTTGTTGAGGTGGTTTGTTGTTATTATTATGGCCTCTTTGAGATGGAATGAAAGTTATTATATTTGTTGTTTTAACAATCTTATTCTGTGGTTATGGGAGGAGAATCAAGGTGTGTTTGTTGTTCTGTTTAAAAATTTCTGCTAAAAAAGAAACAGGTAAAACAATCGATGAAAGTGTGTTTCTGGTGATAGAAAGTGTTTGCAACACAAAATAAATCTAAAAAATGATTAACACGTATATAAACAATTCGATTGGGAGATTATTTTGGACAATCTGTCTAAGACCGAAAAGTAGTAAGGAGGTTTGTAATGCACTCTTGGGTCGGTCCTGATATTCACAAAACTGCCAATCCTAAACAACTCCGAATTGATCTCCCGTCGGTCCTCAACAGATGCTTCCTTTTCCCGTGGGGTAGACAAAAATATCCTTGTGGTTTGTTAAAAGTTACAAAGTCAGTTTCTGACTATTTTTGTTTTATGCAAATGGTCCTTTTGGTTTGTAAAACTTGCAAAGTTGATCCGTTCGTGTTGGTAAAACGCTGTTAGGGATTGAATCTATAAGGATATTTTTATTTTTTTAAGTATAAAGGGATTGGATTCGTGATATTTGATAAACCAAATGGATCATTTTTGAATTTTTGAATTTTTTTTGAAAAGACAAGTAAATAGCTAGAGGAAGGATTGAACTCGTGACATCCCCTTCTATATAGTTTCCAACGACTTGACCAAAGCTCACTTGGTTTTTACCTTTTAAAATTCATTTATATAATAATAAATCGATAAAAATAAACAATAAATAAATTAAAAAAACATTTTTTTATATATTTTTTTTACTAAAACAAAATATATCTTAACGTATTATAAAAAAATACGTTTAGAAAAAGTATTTATTTTACATAAAATGTTTTTTTTAATAAAATAGAAACAATAAATAAATTACAAAAAACATTTTTTACATAATTTTTTTAAAATAAAACAAAAGGTGTTTTCCATGTTATAAAAAAATAAGTACATTACAAAAAACATTTTAAATAAAAAAACGTATTTTTTTTCTAAAAAACATATATACAATAATAAAATTGATAAAACATAAACAATAAATAAAACGTATTTTTATGTATTTATTTTACGTAAAATATGTTGTTTTATGTATTTCTAAAAATCGTTTTTCGGTTATATATATTTAAAAACACATATAAAAACTATTTGATTATATGTCTTATTTAAAATACCTATTTTAACTTAACCGCTAGTTCTAAATCGTATGGTTAAAATGACGACGGAAAGAAATAAATATATATATATTTTAAAATAAAATAACTAACACTAATTGTGACATAAAAAATATTAGTTGTTTAAATACATATAGCAAAATTGTTGTTAAGTTTTTTTTTAACCAAAAAACGGTTTTTAGAAAACCAATTGAACCAAAAAAAGAACTAATTCGGCCGATTTTGCCTTTCATTACAATGCAATAACATATTTTCCAAAAACGTATTTTTTAAAGACATAATTTTTTTTATGTAAAATAAATTCATAAAAATAAATATGGAAAAAAATGTTTTACTAAAAAAAACATTTTATGTAAAATAAATACATAAAAACAAATACTTTTTATAAAGTATTTTTTTTCTAATACGCTAAAATACATTTTGTTTTATTAAAAAAAATTATGGAAAAAAATGTTTTTTTAATTTATTTATTGTTTATGTTTTATCGAATTATTATTATATAAATGAGTTTTAGAAGGTAAAAACCAAATAGGCCTTTAGCTCAAGTGGTTAAGGCGCTGTGCTTTCTTGAAGGGTGGAGGGCACGAGTTTTATCCCTTCTCCTAGCAATTTAATTGTTTTTTCAATAAAAATTTTAAAAATGATCCCTATGGTTTATCAAATGTCACGAATTCAGTCCCTTTATACTTGAAAAGACGAAAATATCCTTACAGATTCAGTCCCTAACGGCGTTAGTAAAAGTGGCCAACTTTGCAAGTTTTGCAAACCACAAGGTCCATTTGCATAAAAAAGATTAGCAAGGACTGACTTTGTAACTTTTGCCAAACCATAGGGATATTTTTGTAATTTTGTCCATGGGGTATTTAGAACCGAAGTTAACTGGGTCTATAATTATAAGTAAATAAAATTCAGAATAAATTTTTGAAATTCTGGTGATGTTTTGGTTTTTTCAACAAAATGAGTGCTAAAACTAATGAATTAGGGACATAGTAATTAGGGGTGATCAAAACTGAACTCAGAAATTGAAAAACCAAAACCAAAATAGTAACCGCCGCTTGATTCTATTGCCTAAGATGTCCCTCCCAGTACTGCCTGAGTTAGCTTAAGCGACTCGTAAGACTAATGATTTAGCCACCTTTCGGGTGAGAGGAAACTAGACTTAGAAAGTGATAGAACTCTGTGTTGGAATAGTGTCTAAGGCTATAACTATATTCGGTTGTGCATGGTCCTTTTGGGTTGCCTTCACCATAGCAACTTGAATGATGATTTATTAAGAGAGAGATTAAATATTATAAGGAATAATATTTGGCTATTTGATTAATATAAGTCATAAATTAATTGGTATTAATTTGGTGGCTTAAAGAGATTAATTAAATAAGAGGGTATAAACTGTCAATTGTTTGATAGTTAGACTTTAGACTATAAATCCATTAGGATATACCTTGGACGGATTCTAAGAGCTTTAGGATAGCTCAAATCATCCATAGGGTTATCTATGGAATGGATTTGGATAGCCTTAAGAGAAGATTATCTAATTAGGGTTTAGGGTGAAACCCTTAAGGAGTCTAATAGTATAAATAGACCCTATGGGTGAGGGAATTCGACACACAACCTTAAGCAAGGAACCCCTGGCCGATTTCCTCCCCTCTCCTCTCTCCTAAATCATCTTGCTTGCTATTTGTGTTTGTAAGCCATTAGAGGAGTGACAATTGTGACTCTAGAAGCTCCAAGACAAACAAGATCAACAAGGAATTCAAAGGTATGATTCTAGATCTGTTTTAATATTGTTGTTTAACCTAATTAGCTATTAGAAGTCTTGGATTCATAGCATGTTTATTAGAAAGCCTAGATCCAAGCATTAGGGTTTTGCATGCGCACATAGGAAAGTTCTTATGGCTAAAACCCATCAGTGGTATCAGAGCCTAGCTTGGTTTTCTTTAAATTGTTGCTTGACTAACTGAAACAAACCTGCAAAATTCGATTTTTTGGGTTTTGAGTCACTGACTCGTCGAGTTCCAAGGTGGACTCGTCGAGTAGGCCTGACTCGGCGAGTCCCCTTGTGACTCGGCGAGTCCAAGCGTCAGGAATGGCCAGATTCGGGATTTTTTCATAATTATCTTATGGAAACTTACCTTAATCATATTAGATCAATATAAATCCGATTTTTTGATAAATATGACTATTATCTTGATCTAATTAAAGATATTTATCATCTAATAAAATATTTAATTTCCTTATATGATAATGATTAATTATTTTGGTAATTATCTTCAAAGAAATCAAGATAAATCAAATAAAGATAATTAGAATATTAATTGTTAATTGGAATTATTTGTTATTTGATCCTCTATGTTTTTAAATGTTTAAAACCTACCCTAAAGTTTTGAAATTTATATTTGTGATTAAAAGTTTTAATTTAGACAACTTAAATTTCAAACCCTAGATTTTGAAAAGTTTAAAATGCAACCCTATACTTATATAATATTACTAGATTAATATATATACGTATAACTAAATGCTAGTCTTACCGCTAGTAGGCCTCATTCACGAAGCCGATCTATAAGGTGGGTATAAGGTTGCGGTCTATAAAATGACGCTTAATGGGTGTACACTCACACCCACTGCTTGCTTGATTGGTGGAGGGTCGTTAGCCGAACGGGTAGGATAGGGCAACCTCATCCTCTCATTAAAAGTATAATAAGAAATACAAAGTAACTAAATTTTTTTAAATTTCCCAATCTTAGTTACTTTAGGAAAAGTGAATTGATGCAATCCCATGAAATTACACTTTGCACCTTGCTAAGATGTTAGTGGAGCGTGTGTGGTTTACCGGCACACTAATTGGTTCTAAGCGAAGGTGGCAAAGGGTGATTCATTGTTCATCATAGTTCGATGGAGCGTGTGTGGTTTACCGGCACATCGAATAGGTGATCGTTACAATGAAGGCACCATGTGAATTTGCATGGTAATTCACACCTGTTTTGTGATCCTCGGCATCCCAGTCACAGACAAGAGGGGCATATCGAGATTTAAACATGCCATTGAATAGTTCAATGAATCTCATCCGAATCTAGGAATTCTCAAAAACACTTAGGACTAATAGTTTAAGTTTTGTAATGGAGAATTAGTGAATCGTCATTCACTTACCTTCAATTTATTTGCATATTGGATTACGACATCCCTTTTTTAGTATGTAAATGTTATTGTTGGATCCTAGCCCTAATTTTTCTTATTGGGTGATAATTAGGGATTCTTGTTCTAATCTATCTTTGTCCTTTCTATAGATGTCAAACGCAAACAACGCTGCTACTAGTTCTTTCACGTTGATGAGCCTTTGCCAAAAGGTCACCTTCGATGGAACGAACTTTAGCGAATGGATAAGATACATTCGCACCATTGCTCGCTATGAGGATAAAGAGTATGTCCTCGATGAGAAGCTCGAGAAAATCAACCCCGAAGTTGCTACTCCCGAAGAAATCACCGCCTTTGAAACTCATGAGCGAGATGCAACGAAGGTACATTGCATCATGATCGCCACCATGAGCTCCGAATTCCAAAAGTCCTACGAGGACATGTATCCATACGAGATGCATCAAGACTTGTTGGAGAAGTACCACCAAAACGCGAGACAAGAGCGTTACGAGATTTTCACTAACATGATTTCCGCTAAGATGGGTCATGGAGAATCTCTTACCGTGCACTTGCAAAAGATGCAAAGGTATGTCGACCGCCTTCGCAAGTTAAATGTTGACTTCGGCGAAGACTTGGCGATCGACATGGTGCTTCACTCTTTGCCTCCGATGTACAATCAATTTAGGATGACCTACCACATGAACAAAGAGGAGGTCACTCTAAGTAAACTCCAAGGTCTCTTGAGGGTTGCTGAGAGCAATTTCAAGGACAAGTCTATTGCACCAACTCCCAATCCATCCGCTGCTCCTGTCTTGGCTATTGGTCAAGGGAAGGGAAAGAAGAGGAAAGCTTCTTCGAACAACTATCGCAAGGTGAAAGCCCGAGATGGTTCCTCTTCTAGTGGGACCAAAGTTGATCCCTCTAAGCCCTGCTCTAACCCGAAGGAGGCAGAGTGCTACCACTGTCACAAGATAGGACATTGGAAGAGAAGCTGCCCGGATTACCTGCAAGCCATCAAGGAAGGAAAG